TGGCCTGGCCTTGGAAGTCACACAGGGTCACTTTCGCCATGCTCTCTCCATGCATTCCAACAGGGGCGAACATTGGTTCTTGGAGGGTGAAAAAATTTTACTCTTTTTATATACAAAACACAGATAAATAAATATCTGTGTTTTTATATACAAAACACAGATAAATAAACATATGCACACACACACACATCTTCATACATAGGTATACATAACATAAAATATATACAGTATATCTTTGTTATTAAGATTTTATGGGATGGGGTGACTTTTAGAAAAATAAGCCATCTAAACAGATTCCTTAGGAGGATGATAATGGCAAAACATTGAGAGACACTGCTCTAGTCTACTGGTTGAAGGAGTCACAGCCGCCCCTAGACACGAGGAGAGGGGACATAAACCCGACACTTCATAGGAGGGGTGTCAAGGAATTTGCAGCCATGTTTTAAAACTGCCACATGCAAGTCTTACTCTTCATATCACATATAAGAACAGGGAGACCTGAAGGGCTGTGGCCCCTGGTCCCCAGTCACAAGGCCAGGTAGCAGAGTTGGATCTGCCCCTGAGCCAGCATGGGGCCAGCCCACACATCGTCCCCACAGGTCCACCTGTGCACTTGAGAAGGTCAGTTCCCAAGCCTGCTGAGGGCACCAGATGGCCCCAGCCATAAATACTAGACTGACACAACCCTGCTCTGCGATTTCTCAGAGGTGCTCTGCTTTGCTCAGAGGCCACAGACTGCATCCATGATTTGCATGGACTTGCAGACATGTTTTGTTTTTTGATCACAATAGTTTTTAAATAGAATTTGTTGCCTATATGTAAACATGAGGAATTTCACTCTGACTTCTCTTTTGAAAGTGGGAATGCCTGAAAACAGTGGGCCCTCAATGCCACATGCTCCACATGACTGTCAGAGAGTTTAAAACCTTCCAGGAGCTCCCTGAGGCCTCTAGCACCATTAAAACACTCACATTAGAAAAGGAGAAATAGGGCCAGCCCCGTGGCTTGGTGGTTAAGTGAGCGCGCTCCACTGCTGGCGACCCGGGTTCGGATCCCGGGCTCGCACCGACGCGCTGCTTCTCTGGCCATGCTGAGGCCGCGTCCCACATACAGCAACTAGAAGGATGTGCAGCTATGACACACAGCTATCTACTGGGGCTTTGGGGAAAAAATAAATAAATAAAATCTTTAAAAAAAAAAAAAAAAAGAAAAGGAGAAATAAAACTGTCCCTCTTTGCCGGTGACATGATTATCTATGTATAAAATCCCAAGGAATCTACAAAAAAACCTACTAGAACTAATAAATGAGTTCAACAAAGTCACAGGATACAAGATCGAAACACACACACACACAGACAATCATATTTCTATGTACTAGCAACGAGCACGTGGAAACCAAAATGAAAAACACAATACTATTCACAATTGCTTCCAAAAAAAGAAGAAATACCCGGGTATAAATCTAACAGAACATGTGCAGCATCTGTATGTTAAGAATTATAAAATGCTGATGACATAAGTCAAAGAATATTTAAATAAATTGAGAGATGTACCACATTTGTGGATTGGAAGACTCAACATAGTCAAGACGTCCATTTTCCCAATATTGATCTATAAGTTTAACACAATTCCTATCAAAATTCCAGCAAGATTTTTTTGTAGCTTACTCTAAAATTTGTAAGAAAAGGAAAAGGAACTACAACACCTAAAAAAGTTTTTTAAAGAATAAATAAGGAGGGTTTACTCTACCTGATGTTAAGACTTACTTATATAGCTATAGTAATCAAGACAGAGTGATATTAGAGGAGGGATAGACACGCAGATCAATGGAAGAAAATACAGAATCCCAAACCCGTGGTTCCTAACTGTGGGGTCGTCAAAGACTCTGTCCTTGGTTCTGAACTCTTCCCTTAAAGATTTTGACTCTCCCTGGGCTCTAGTTAACCTCTCCATATCTCTTCCAACACAGGTATGCCCAATTGATTTTTGACAAAGAAGCAAGTGCAACTAAATGGAGGAACAATATTATTTTTAGCAAATGGTTCTGAGACAATTGGACAACCACAGGTGGAAAAAAACACATTAATCTGTAGCATAAAAAAATAATTCAAAATAGATCACGGTCTATGAATTTAAATGTAAAACATAAAAACTAAAAAAATTTTAGAAGAAAACATGGAAATAAATACTAGGGATCTAGGGCTATGTGAAAAGTTCTCAAACATGATGCCAAAAGCATAATCTTCAAAAAAAATTAACAAATTGTACTTCATCAAAATTGAAAACTTCTGCAGTATGAAAGACCTTGTGGGGAGGATGAAAAGACTGTGAGAAACTATTGGAAAACCACATATCCAACAAAGAACCAGCATCTAGAATATATAAAGAAGCCTCAAATCTCAGTAGTATAAAAAATTGTTTTCAATTAGAAAATAGGCAAAAGACATGAACAAGCTTTTCACCAAAGAGGATGTACAGGTGGCAAATAAGCATTGCAATTGTTAGTCTATATCTCAATACTCCCTTTTTTGGAGTAGGGAGTCTGCATTGTTTAAACCCTTATCTTAATTGCCCAGAACAATGCACCATTGACACACAAAAAGTTTGTTGGATTAATGAGTAAATAAAAGAAAAAAGAAAGGAAAAATGGAAGGAAGGAAGGAAGGGGAATCTGCTGTCCCTTTCTCCTGCATCTGCTCTCTCCTCATCCTCACCATCTGGTTACTCTTTCTTTACTCTTCTTATCTGGTTTCTGCTCCCACTGCTCTGTTGACGTGCTCTCCTAAACTTAACAAGTGACATTGTGAGTGGTAAGTTCAACAGCCACTTCTCATTCCTGATCCACCTCTACCTTTCTGGCTCTGCTCTCTCCCCTTCATGGCCCTTGGCTTCTCACCTTCTACCTGTTTGCTCCTTCACCAGCACCTTGTTCATTGTCTCTTCCCTCTACCCTTGCTCCCTAACTATAGGGGCTCCAAGGACTCTGTCCTTGGTTCTGAACTCTTCCTTTGAAGATTTCACCTCTCCGTGGGCTCCAGTTAACCTCCGTACATCTCCAGCATCAATACTCTGCTGTTCCACATCTCCAGCTTCCTACTAGACCTCTCTGCCTGGCCATCCCAGTCACACTGAAAAAACTAAGCTCTGCATCACCCAAGTCTGCTCCTGACTTTCCTATTTCTGTCAATGATGCTCCATTCTTCTGGTCTTCCAGGCTTGAGACCTCCAGACTCCCAGAATCTTCCTTTCAGACCATCCTGCACATCTGCTAGATAAGCCTTCCTAAAACACATCCATGATCCCATTTTGATCTTCTCAAACCCATCCAAATGTCTCCAATCAAAGTTTAAGTAAGAGTTGGGTCCTAAGCCTCCACAATACACCTCCACCTTAGTTCTCCTAGGTCAGCTCCATCTGCATTGCCACAAAAAAGAAAATTTCACTCTGTTGGAATCTTGGACACACCTCCACCATGAGAAATTGTATGTGAACACCACATTCCATTTGATGATAGATCCTCTATGAATGACAATTATGATGATTATTTCCTGTCTCTCTGCCTTCACTTATGCTGTTCTTCTAACTATGTCTCCACACTCCCTGCTCCCCCTCACCCACGCTCAGCTGAAATCCTACACCTCCTTTAACATCATTCTCAAATTTCATCTCCTTTCCCAATCTCACAGGTTTCCCTCATGAAACATCTTGCCTATGGCTCTCCTGTTGCACTTACCAATACTGCCTAAACTATACTGACTTGTGAGCTTACCTTTTTTATAAAGTGCATCATAATTTCCTCTCTTGCCCATCATTATGTTTCCTATATCCCCCATGTATGTTTTATTAATATGATTAATATGTGCCCCATTAATTAGAATTTCTCCTTAAGCTGAGTCCTGGGCCAGCCCCAGCTCTCCTTGAGATACCATGAATGACCCGGCCCTGTGGGAGCCACATCAGGGCTCAGGTTCCAAGCTTGGCAGCCCTGCCTGAGGACTCAGCACTTAGAGGAGCTCTCAAAGTGCTTTCTGGAAACTGCCATCACTAGCTCAGGGCAGGCTTGGGCCTGGCAGAGAGGAGAGGGCTGGTCTAGATGCAGGGAGTTGAGTGGAGATGATGACGCTGCTTGCGACAGACTGTGCAACTTCTGCCTGCAGACTTCAGGGAGGGAGCAATTGACAAGCATTCAAAAACCAACTGAGCCCTTTATTGGACTTGAGGTGCCAAGTGGTGGCTGTGGTATCGTGCCATGCCAGTGTGGTGAAGTATCTCCTCACCTCTGTGTCCTGAACCTTGTCTTTGGAAAACTGTGTCTGCATCTTCCATGGAAAGTCAACAGGTGGCCTCAGACAGACTTCTCTTAAAGTAGATAAAGCTGGGCTCCCCATCATATCTCTGCACAAGAGACCTCCAGATTGGGGAATTCCAGAGTGATATTAGGGGCACTCACTGCCTCCTGATCCCACTACTGCTCCAACTAGCCCCAGAACTTTAACTTGAAGCTGCTCGACCATGGCTGGCCCAGGCAGAGATGCATTGAGCCCAGCCCCACACTCTCTGGTCACAGGGATACAAGGGGGATTGAAGATCAGCGAGACCCAAGAGGCATTGGAAGAGAGGAAGGAACCCTGAGCATGCAGGACCGTGGGCAGTTGCATGGGCAAGCTCTGTGAGGACCAAACTCCCCTGGGATTGTCCCAGAGGAGGGGATAGAGACCTGTGAGCCCAAAGACTAAAGCTGTGAGGGGTGTGTGCTCAGGGAGCCTCCTGTCTGCAGGAAGGAGGTGGTTACTGCCCTGGAGGACCCTGAGCTGAGTTTTTGTGCCAGGGAGAAGAGTAAAGGGCCAGGCTTCTGAGCATGCAACTTCCAGAGAATTCTTGGCCTTGGGAGCTGGGCATGAGGACAAGGAGCCAGGGGATCTGGGGAGGAGAAAGGAGGACCCCAAGAAGGGGCCTGGGAGACTCATCCGTCCTCCACCTGAGGACTCAGAGAGTGTCCTCTAAGACCCAGAACTCTCCATTGAGGCACAGGAACAACACCCCCAGAAGACCCGAGTCCCTCCAGAATCCAGGCACTGCAGCCCCCCTGCCCTGGAGTCCAGAGTCTGAAGGTCTCTCTTGTCCAGTCTGAAGGGCTGTCCTCCTAGAGACAGCCTTCCTGGGGCCAGTGCACTGCATGGTCTATTCCCCTGGTCAGGCTGACTCTGTCTCCCTCTAGGGCCCCTCTGAGGTCTGTTCACCCAGAGGACAGCAGTGAGCATGCTCAGGAACAGGGGCAGCTTCAGGAAGACCAGGAGTAGAAAGTGGACGTTGCTGGGCTGGGACCTGTGGGGGACATGGTGATAGGAAATGAGCTGCCTCCTTGGGGGACTCTTCATTCCCCACCCCTCCCTGTGCCCTGACTCCAGAGCCCAAATAACTCAGTGTCAAGCCCAGAACAGACACAGGTCAGGGCAGCCACTCTGGGGCCCCTGTCACCTCCCCTCCCTTGGTCAAGAACTGCCCTTGGGACTCTCGTGAAGGAGAGGCGATGGAGCGAAGAGAGAAGAGGGATCCAGGCAGTGCTCCTTTCCAGAAACATGCTCCCAAGCTCACCCTCTATGCCCCTTTCCCTTCACACAGTTCCCCCTTTATCAACTGGCTTCTTGAAACCCCATCCTCACCCACACTTTAAATCCCTGCCCCTCATTCCCTTCCCTTCAGGGTCTGGCAGCAGCATCACAGCCCTTTCTGGGTATCTTTGGAAGCCATCCCATCTCCCCACAGACCCACGAGTAGCTCCTGGGTGCAGGATCTCTGGTAGAGCAAAGACCTTTGGAAGCGAGCCCTGGTTAGGAACCACAGAACCAGGACTCCAAATCCAGAACCAGATGAGGAAGGAGAGGGGAGGGCTGGGAATGGGAGGAGGGGCTGCATGTGCATCTGAAACCAGCCTCTGCCTGTGTCCTTGAAGCTGCCTCACGGAGGAGAGTGTTCACAGAACAAGTGATATTTTCCACTCAGAAACCCCATGCAGCCCTGGAGAACGTGAAGGTCAGGACCATAGTTGGAGGAAAGCCCAGCAGACAGTGAGGTAAAAAGATCGTGGTGTATTGTCAGCCCGAACCTCAGAGTCCCATAAGGCTGCTGCCCCCCTCATCCTCCATGGTCTCCAGGCCTTGGGTCCTCACCCTGAGCTGTGAGTCAGCACCTTCCTGGTGCTAAGGTTCTGCCCGGTATTCACCACTGGAAGGGTGGCAGGTGCCACTGGACATCTGGTCGTCCCTGTGGTTGTACCTGGTGCTGGAGATAAAAATCATACATGAGGAGCTGCTCTCTCCCCAGCCGCACACTGAGCATGTGTTTGGATCTGATGTCACACACAATCATCCGCTCACAGAAGGGACTCAAGAGATACTCTGCTCTGAAGCTAGACCCAGGCCACCTCCTGGATGGAGCAAGCCCCTCCGGGACCAAATGAGACTTTTCCAGAACTGGCCATAAGAGTTATCTCTAATAAGTGGCAGGTGTTTCTTCCATCCCAATTCTGACTCTCCTTGGGGTGAGAGCGGGGGGTCTCTCAAGGGCTTCGCCACCCTGATGAGGAGCCCTAGAGGGAGGAGGGGCAGGGAGGAGTCTGGAGAAGATGGTTCTGCCTGTGGCCCAGAAACCTCATAGAGACTGTGAGAGGGGGCTCAGAGCACCTTTCAGATGGAGACTACTTAAGGCTACTTTCACCCATCACTGGGGAGGGAATAGGTTTCACCCAGCTCTTCCCAAAGACCTCAGGTGTCCAGACTGTTGACATAATCTATATTCCCCACCCCCACTCTACCAACCTCATGATCTCCCCAAAAAGCAATTGCCCCAGAGGATCAGCCCTTCCCAGAGCACCCAACACAGGCTCTGCTTCACCAAACAGCAGGCTTTGACGTCCTTGCTGTTGGGGATTAGTTGATAGATGTGGCACCATCTCCACCCTTATGGAAAGGTAGATGCACCTAAACAGATTGACTCACTTCAATAGAAAGTGGGCACTGGGGTGGAACTCCACCAGGTACAGCAGGAGCACAAAGGAGGAAGTGTACCTCACCCACTTTTCAGGCAAGCAGGAAGGAGAGAAATGAGAAATGGTGGCACCTAGAGGAAGGTGCAGTTATTTTTAGGACATGAGAGACATGAGCATGTTTATAGGCTGAAGTGAAGAGCAGTGATGAGGAAGAGGCTGAGGACAAGAGAGAGTGTGGATAATTGATGGAGGAAGGATTGGATGAGCAAAGAGAGAACTTGGCTCAAGTGGATGGGAGGCAAGGAGCCACAGGGTGAGAAGCCATCCTCAGGATGATTGCTCTTGAACAGAAGAAGGGAAACCTTATCCTCAACCTAAAAGGGAAAGAGGGAATAATGAGTTAGGCTGCACCGAAGTTTGTAGGTGGAGAAGGAAAGAAAATGAATGAGTTTACATCTGATGTCCCATGTGCTCTTGGAAAGTAGAAGAGTGGGAGGGTAATATCAGAAACCATGAACTTCTATTGACACCCATAGGCGCCATCTGTGACTTTTTTCCAGCAGGACTGGAGCAGATAGATGCTAGGAAGGGTGACCAACTTGCCCTAGTTTGCCTAGGACATATCAGTTCTAGTATTGAAAGCCCTATGTCTCAAAAACTCTCTCAATCCTGGGCAAACTCTGATGGTTGGTCACTCTAATTTTAGGATGGATCCAAGGATGAGGGTTTGGAAAGGGAAATAGTGGGAATAGTGTATGGGAGCTGAGGGTACTGGTAAGAGACGAAAAAACAGCCTATCATGAGAGTTGGCACTGGCTTAGGAAGGAAGTGAGGTCAGGGAAGGTGTGAGGTAGGCAATAAATTGGGAGAAAGTGGAGAGAAGGATCAAAGGACTGGAGATCTTGGTGAGGTTGAGAATAGGAATGGTAGGGCTGAGGGTTTCCAGGCTGACACATGGAAAGTTGTCAGAAAATAGAATGTTTGAGTGTAGGGTTCTGGACATGGAGTAGTTGGGAGTGACGACAAGATTTGCGATGTTGCCATGGAGCAGAATTCTGAAAGAGAGTGGAAATGCAGGCCACTAAACCTGGAACCTGAGGCAAGAATATTTGACAAGTTATCCATTAAAATCTCCCAAGACGATGACAGAGGTTGGGGTGGAGAAGCTGCCAGGTTCCCACCGAATGTTGAAGAGTACCCTAGAAGCCAATGGAGAGGAGAGGTAGAGGGTGTGTGGTCATGTGACACTAATTTTTTAAAAAGCAGGTGGGGAAGTAATAGGTTGGAAGTTGTGATGGGGAGCTGGGAGAACGTGGACGTGGCTTCATGGCCCTATTTCATATGGGGAGTAGGAGAAAGAGCTGCATCCACTCAAGAAGCCGACCTCTTGGAACAAGAGGAGTGAGGCCAGTTTCAGGACAACGTGGTAGACGGAATGTTCTATGAGCAAGCTGAAGATGTTATGTATGAAGAGTTTATTTCCTTTGGTACAGTTTTCCGAAAGGCATGGTGGAAATAGCTGTGGCTCAGCATGGAGGGGCCTCCCAGGCAATAGAGGGAGGCCCTGGTCCTATGAGAGTGAGAATGCCTTGAGCTCTGCCCTCCGACCCAGCCCCAGGCTAAAGGATCAGCCACTACTCTCCCTGCCCACATCATAGACTCTTCCCAACACCACTGACACTGGGGACAAGACAAGACCCAGAGACGCTCTTCCGTATAGCACCCATCCTTGTCCCCATATCATATCCCATAAGCTCTGCTGCGGGGGTGAGGAGAGCTCTTACCTGGGGAAACAGACACCTTAACTTGGACTGATGGGTCACGTGACCACGCGTCCAGGATCCATACTGTCTGAATTCCACACCAGTAGGATCCAGCATCATCTGCATTGAGGTTCTCCATGGTCACTGTGAAGGTGAGCTTATCAGCGCGGTCTCTGATGGACACACGACCATTCCTCTCATCTTTCTCTTCTCCTTTGGTCTCCACAATTACGTCACATGTTGTGTCGTACTGTCCTCGGCACCAGTATTTGTTATACGCCTTGTACCTCTCCTCATACTGACACTGCACACTCAGAGAGTTCCCCATGGTGCCAGTCACACAGCTGGGGCCCATCAGGGACAAACAGCCTGGAAAACACAAGCCACATCCCAGGAGTCCGTCCTGATGGGCCTCATCAGGAGCTGTCTGCCTGAAGCCCAGGGGGAAAGTCCCCAGGGAGGCATGGATGGTTCTGAGCTCGGGGATGGGGACCTGGAGGGACATCTAAGCTTAGGACCTAAGTCAGAAGGTCTGGAGACTGCAGTCGGCAGGATGAGTAGAGACCTGTGCTCTGTGAGCCCTGAAACACTGAATAACCACACAGGGACTCCGCCCCTTGGGGACAAGGAGAGTTGGACCAAAGCCAGAGGTGGGAGCAGACAGAGCTGGCTGTCTTGCCCTGTCCTTAGCCCTGCAGCCTCTGCCAGGCGTGAAATTTGGTCATGTGTGAAAACACTTCCTCTTGGAGTGAAGCCTCTGCACTCTGGGTTTTCTGCAACTCAAACTTGTTCTTTAAGAGGACCACTTGTTTACTCTGCTCTCCATGTGTCCTCAAGGGAGGAAAAATAAATCTCTGGTCCTCATCTTAACTACTCTCTAGGGAGGGTCAACATATTGCTGGGAAGAAGGGCTGGTTCCCAAAGGAGGCCTTGATAGGCTTCTTTTTTTGTGTGTGAGGAAGATCAGCCCTGAGCTAACATCCATGCTAATCCACCTCTTTCTGCTGAGGAAGACCGGCTCTGAGCTAACATCTACTGCCAATCCTCCTCCTTTTTCCCCCCAAAGCCCCAGTAGATAGTTGTACGTCATAGCTGCACATCCTTCTAGTTGCTGTATGTGGGAGGCCTCCTCAGCATGGCTGGAGAAGCAGTGCATCGGTGTACGCCCGGGATCCGAACCCAGGCCGCCAGTATCGGAGCGCGCGCTCTTAACCGCTAAGCCACGGGGCCAGCCCCCTGATAGGCTTCTTGACACAAGTTTGGGGCACAAGCTGACCCACCCCCATCATAGTCCCCAGGGCCTGGTTGTCAACTGACACCATGTGTTCAGAAGAGAAAGGGGTTGCATGAGATCATGGTCTCTATAGCCGAGTGGGATGGTTTTGGACCAGGGGGAACGTGGGGGTGAGGACTGGAAGGCAAAGGTGAGAAGCTGATGTGGAAGGAGGGAGAAGGAGGGAGAAAGGCTGCAGTGGGGGGAAGTCCCTGTATGCTGTGATGTGACTCAGCAGAGCCCCCCCAACTCTTGAGCAAATGTTCAAAAACTAATGAAATGTTTGGCTTGAGCTTGAGTGTGTGTGTGTGTGTGAACATACCTGCGTGTGTGTACGTGTGTGTGAAAACAGTGAAGGGGCTGAGCTTGCAGTGGCCACAGAAGCATGGGCCCTGGGAATTAGCAGAAATGGTGGAGGAGCCCTGGGCATTTGCAGGCTGCACAACTGGCTGGGATCTGAACTAATTATATCCAGATTTGAGGCGCGTGCCAGGTGAAGGAGCCCTGACTTCTGGCTTTCGCTCATGTCCCTGCCTTCCTCCCAGCATCTGCCCTTCCTCCCCTCTCTGTCCTTGGCTCTATCTGTCATACACCTGGCTGCATTCTGCTCTCCCTGTTCTTGTGTCCACGTGTGGGGTGACCATGCGCTGCTTCCTCACCCACCAACCATGCTTGGCCCCAGAACTTTTTACTGTCGCTGCCCAAGCCCCTGGCCTCTCCAAACTCCCCGGCACCCGTCAGCCCCAGCCCAACCCCTGCCCACGTGCTGCCTGTGTTCTCTCTTGACCGCAGGAAAGTGACTCTGGACCCTGCAGACTCTGAGCTCTCCCCATTTCTCCTGCTGATCTAATTCATGGGAGGACCCTTCCCACCCTGGACACCTCACCTTGGGGAACCTTCCCTTTTCCAATACCTGCCCCACACCTCTGTTTTCCCCCAGGACATGTCTCTCCACCACTGCCCTCCACCCAAGGTCAGAGAGCTGGTCTCACCTCCTCCCTTCAACTTGCCCCAACCCCCTCCTAGAGGTGGTGCGTTCTCAACTGTGCCTCCTTCCAGGTCCTGGACAGAGCTCAGAAGTGCATTTCCCCACGGTGGGAATTTATCAGGGTGAAGAGTACATGTCACAGCCAGGAGCCTGGGGAGCGGAGCCCAAGGCCTCTCATGCAGCTTCAGGAGCGAGTCCTTCTTGGGGAGCTTGGAGCCCTTCCCTCCGAGCTCGGAGCCAGCCCCTTCAGAGCTGAGCGCACCCTAGAATTCCTGCCCCTCCAATCAAGGAGATTCCAGCAGCAGATGAGCAGTCAGACTGAAGAGAAACTTCCAGGTTCCTTCCAGCCTGGAGAGTCTACAATTCTATAAAATAAGTCAATATACAGAAGAGCTGGTCTGGCCTTCTGTCCCTGCTGGCTGGAACCCACCCTCCTACCCTGCACTCCGCTGCTTACACACTGGGCTCCTTTAAGCAAGCAGGTAGAGCGCTCTCTCTCTCACTCTCTCTCTCTCACTCTCCCTCTCTCTCTCACTCTCATACATGCATGCACTCACGTGCGTGCACACACACACACTCACCTCAGCCAGGCAGCTCCCACCCCCACCCGGCAGCAGCTCCCTGACATGAAATCGTGAGTTCCTGAAAGACTCCCTCACTCCCTTCTTCCTCTTTCCTGCTCCTTTTCCTCCACGATGCCCACTGCTCGCATCCCTGGTGCCCCTGGGCTTTGGTGCCCTTGCAGGCTGAGTGAAAGGATGTACCAGCTCTATTTTGCAGAATGCACAGTGTGGAAACTTGGGCCACGGCATCAAGGACACAGGGACTAGGAGGGTGCGCCCCTCCACCCCGACACACACACACACACACACACACACACACACACACACACAGTGTTCAGAGGAGGTTGGCGAGAATGAAAGGTTCATCACCCAGAGTCATTGTGAAGAAGGCGCCTCAGTCATGGAGGCAGCTAGGTGTAGGGAGCCCTGACTGGGGTCAGAAGATCTGGAGTCTAAGCACGGCTCTGCCTTTTGCTGGCCGTGTGACCTTGGGCATCAGTGTCTGGAAAATGAGGATCACAGCCTGACCCGCTGCTCCCCAAGCTGGAGGTATTCATTACTTGAGATCATGACTTAAACTTCAGGGCTAGGACAGGAAGTGTGCCTAAGCGCATTTATAAAACCTAGTAAACAAATCCACCTCCAAAACTGAGGAAAATTAAGGCAACTTGCAGAAAGGAGTATCTGGATTGAGAAACCTAAAGAAAAAGGTGGAGATGGGGGGATGTGGCTCCTTAAATCACAGATTAATTTAGATTGGGGCCTTATAGTTCCTTAGCCCAACTTTCTATCCAATGCACAAGTATGGCAAAAGCAAATATTCATGCAAAATGTTGACTAATGACCCCAGGTTACTGGTGTTTGAAAGAGGAAGCAAGATTGGATGGGGAAGGAGCAGGTAGATATAAGCTGTTGGTAACATTCTAGTTCTTGGGTTGGCCAGTGGGTTCACAGATATTTGTTAAATTACGTATAATTAAACTACAAGAGGGCCTTGCAGGGACCAATGAGGAGAAAGCATCATGAGCCACGACCAATCTAATCCTGGTCACCTGAAGTGAAGAAAAAGAAGTTCTACTAATTCCGAAAGAGGACTTTCTGTCCTGCTAGAATGTTGCCTGAATGCAAGGGCAACAGGTCTTAATGAAATCTGGCATTTTTCTGGAAACTATTTGTGGGATTATATAAATGCGTGTGTGCATTTCCTTTTTTTAATAAAAGTGCTTGCTGGTTGCCTGAAGTTCCTGGGAGCCAGTGAATGTAGGAGAGCAATCAGTTCGGAATGGAAATACCGGATGATATAGCGGAGTCATCAGCAGAAAGCACCGTGCACAGTTTTGTGAATATTCCCAGCTTAGCTTTATTCTGGACATCCTCAAGCCCGGTGGAAAGAGCTCTGGGGAGGAAGCAGATCTGGATTTCATTTTAAGTCCTTCTGCTTAGTTGATATATTGTGGGCTAATCTCTTCCCCATCTTACCTGTAAAATGGGGAGAATGCTATCTGCCTTGCCTCAGTCACAAAGTTGCTCAAAGGGTTAAATTGTGTCATAGATTTGAAAGTGTTTGTAGGTTGTAAAATGCATAGTAAATAAGAGTTCTATTTCTGCTCATTTTATATTGGAATTCACTTCCTTCCTCTTTGCCCTTCCTCTCCTTGCTCTGAAATTGTCCTTACCATCTCTCTTTACATCCGTTTCTCATTCCCCATTCTCAGGCTAGCAATATAACCCTCTTGGGTGCCCTCCATAAATTTAAAGCGGTCACATTTTTCCAAACAGCATATGTAACCCTGCATGGGTGTGGTGGGTGGAGGAGAATGCTGGGAAAGATAGGAGGCACCTGAGCCAGGAGCTGGGATGAAAAAGGAAAAACAAAATTTAAGTCTTTACAAGTGACTTCCAAGTTTTAATCGGGACCTGTGAGGAACCCCAGCTGCAAAGATACCCTGGATGCAAAGGTGAACCTGTGAGGTTGGAGAGGTCAGCCAGTTCCATATGAAGGGATGGGAAGAGGTTTCCATCTTCCGTTTAACCGCACCCAGGGTACGACATTTAGATAATTTTTTCAGATTTAAGCAAGCAGATTGAAACAAGCAGTGATGTGCTGGTAAACCAACTCTCTGGGGAACGTGAGGGAGAAGCCCTGATTTGCAGTGTTTGCTAATTTGCATGTAAATACCCTCACATGACTGACTTCGAGCTAACAACGCGCTCTCGCGCTCTCGCTAGACGTGTGGTTGGGGAAACACGGGCAAGCTGGCTCCAGCCACCACCGCTTCGGGTGTCCACTTCATTAGTTAAGATGATTCACAAAATGTCCATTATCCTCATCGTCATCATCATTTAAGACACTTCAAGCACCTCCCATGTGTAATGAGATGCATGTCTTTTGGATGTCTTTCTGAGTCTAAGATCGTGATTACGAGGGCCTTAGGAAACCTTGAAGATCTTCCAGTCCACTCTCGTTTTACCAATAAGAAAACTATGTTTTGGTCAGTATCACGCAGCTGGTTTTCTTCCTTTAAATCTCTGCCTTTTTCATCCACTTGTCTGCAAGAGTCTGTCTTTATGTTGGGCAGGTTCTATGTTTTGTGAGGGAATCCAACATAAAAATTATTCTATAAACATGAAGCATACCCTCTAATTTTTATCCTAAACTTCCTCCCTACAGAAAAATGTGCTCTCATACATTTTGAATGTCTTTTTTAAGAGTTTCTCTTCAGAAAGTCCAACCTTTGAGGGACAAATTTATTTGCTTACCTCCACCACACCCTGTTCCAGGAGAGATTTAAGGTGGATGCCGAGGCTGGCATTTTAGACCCTTCATTAATTCCTTTTAACAAACCTTTCCAACCCCTTTATACTAAGCTCTGGCAAAACAGAACTATTGCTAATTCCTGAATTTTCCATGATCTTTCATATCGCCACACTTTTGCATAAGCTATTCTCATTGTCCACTCAGCCAACTCATTCATCCTTCAAGACCAACTTCCAGCGAAGCCTCAGCAAAACTTGCACCCTTCCAGGAGCGGAATTAGTGGCCCCTGTTGTGCAGTATCATCAGCATATGAATGAATCTCTTCTATAGCAAGTTCTATGCTGCATTATAATTACTTGACTCCCTCATTCAACCACAAGTCCCTGAGTGCAGGAGTTGCTCTAAATTACAGCACCCAGAACAGTTCTGGCACACAGTTGGTGCTCAATAAGTGTATGTAGGGTCTGTGGATAAATCTTTGAAGGATTTACAGATGGATGAACAGATGTGTCCTTCCCATTTCTGCTGACACTTCACCTCTGGCTTGAATCCAGGACAGACCTTCCACCTGCCCCTTCTGTCCTGCCCCCTGCAATACCAGGTTCCCAAAGCCCCAGCCCAACTCACCTGGGATGCAGAGAAGGAGCATGGCTGGGAGAAGCCACATGGTCCTGTCCCTGGCTGGTGACCTCAGCTAATCCAGGTCCTAGCTGGAATCCAAGTGCTTGCAACAGAGCCTAGGTCATCCACCTTCTACTTGTTCAAGTGTTCTCTGTGTGTCTATCTCATCTACTTCCTTTTTAACCTCTTAGCTACTTCCTATTTTGAAGCATTACATAGCAAAAAGGGAAGAGTAGAACAGATACTTCAGAGACTGGACTAAGAACCTTGAGGGAAATCAGCTGATTTTTCCTCCATTTAATGACAATATAACGTTTGGGTCACACCTTGAGCCTTCACGAAAGTCAATCCCAAGGTATGAAACCTCCAACAGAGAAGACCCTTGGTCCCCAGACTCTCTCATTCTTCTTCCTCTCTGGTCAGCTAATCAGCTGCCCCTCCTCTCTGGCTGCCTACTTTGAGGTCACAAAATACCCCCACTTAAAGATGTGGGGTGAGGACTCCCCATATCTCTCTCCACCATTATCTCCATGCCAATGACCTCATGCCTCATCCTCCAACCTAATATCCCTCCTGGGCTCCAGACTCAAATTTCTGACTTCCTGTGGGGAAGCTCCACCTGCTTGTACACTATTAACCTAATTCAGGATAAGGGTGTTGGTTTAGAGCATAGATTCTGAACCCACACAAACTCAAATCCCACCTTCATTATTCACTAACCATGTGCCCTTGGGCATGTTACGAAATCACTCTCATCCTCAGTTTCCTCATCTGTAAAATAGAACAATGGTACTCATTCTTACCTCATAGGAAACAAATGAGTGAATGCACGTAAAATGCTTGACACAGTGCCTAGAACAGAGTAACAATTCAGTAAATTGTAAACACGTTTAGAATATTCCTGGACAATTGAAATCACTTCTCATCTGGTCTCCAGCCAGCTATACACTCCCTCCAATCCAATTTACACATCAGAAACATTTTCTTCTCTAAGACACAGGTATCTGAAAATATAATCCCAGTGATAACCCCTATCAGTTTCCACTTTTTCTTTTCTTTCCCCAGGGGTCAATAGCCATAGCCTCTAACCTTTACTAGTTTTTAGAACTCTCTGCTGGAGCACCTGCCATTTCAAACTGTAAGAGCACAACTTCTTATCTTCCCACTTCCACCATATCCGATGAAATACAGTGTACAGGGCCAGCTCCGTGGCTTAGCGGTTAAGTGCGCGTGCTCTGATTCTGGCGGCCCGGGTTCGGATCCCGGGCGCGTCCCAAGGCACCGCTTCTCCGTCCAGCGCGAGGCCGAGTCCCACGTACAGCAACTAGAAGGATGTGAACCTATGACATACAACTATCTGCTGGGGCTTTGGGGGGAAAAAAATGAATAAATAAAATCTTTAAAAAAAAAAAAAAAAGAAATACAGTGTACAGGCTGAGCCCTGGGCGGAACAACAAAGCACATGGGTCCTGCTCCCAACTATGTTACTGGTCACTCACTTGGGGGACCCAGAATGATCAGAGCTGACAGTAGGCACAACTGTGCTGTGTCCCCCTGTGTCATTTCTTCAGCATAAACAGTGGTTGGAGGCTTCAGTTCTCCCACAAAGAAGATCAAACAAATCTCCAGCCCCCTCGGTTCTGTTTTTATGTTGTTTTATTCTTCATTTTTTTCCAATCTGATCCTGGAGTTGTTCATAAAATAAAAGAAATGGGAGTAAGCAAAGGTGAGTGTTGATGGTTGAAAAAAATATAAAACATGTCTAATGTGGTCACATTTCAATATAATCCAATAAGAAAGTACAACTTCCAGGCAAGAGGCTCCCTCCTAGCTCCAAACATAGAAAATCTGTATAAAATGCAACCCCAAAAGTTGTAATACATAACTGAAGTCAAAATCAAGCAAAGAAACCCCCAGGTGCCAGAGATGTAAAGGGAACCGAAAGCCAGGACCATGAGCAGGATCTGATACCAAACAGCTACTGGGGACGATTAGAAGTGGATATGGCTTTAGGAGAGAGGCTGGCATTTAAACAGCCACTCGGGGACAGGAGCTGGTGCCTCAGGTCCATACTAGATGAGGAGCTGGAGCAGACCTTCTTGCTGAAAGCTGTGATCCATGAAGGGTCATCACCCCCTCGGAATGAAGAGAGGGCAAACCTCGCTGACGGGCTGAGGGAGGCGTCAAGGCATCTTGGTCCTCTAGAGCCATGAGGAGTTAGAGGAATGAGATCCAAAGTCGTCGTTTCCCATGCATGAGAAGGTCAGGTAAAGAAATCAATACAAAAACAAGCTGGCAAACGATGCTTGGAGGGCCTTGGAAGAGATGAACGCAAAACCAAAACCAGTTGACCCCCTGTTTTTGTACAGCCTATGAGCTAAGGACAGTTTTTACATTTATAAATGGTTGGAAAAAATCAAAACAAAAATGTTTAATGACACATGAAAATTGTATGAAACTCAAATTTCAGTGTGCATAAATAAGTTGTCTTGGAGCACAGCCACACTCGTTCCTTTCCATCTCATCTACATGGCTTTCCTGCTCCCACGGCAGAGTTGAGTAGCTGTGACAGAGACCCTAGGGCCCACAAAGCCTGTAACGTGTACTATCCGGTCCTGGCAGAAAGAGCTTGCCATCCTCTGGTCCAAAGGATGGGCCCCTCCCTGGCCATCATTCTCACTGTAATTAGAAGTAGATCCCTGAAAGAAGAGCGAACATTCTTGGGCTAGTCATCCTGAGGGCAAGGGGAGCTACTTTCAATGGTGTGATGATTTTTCAGGGTCCGAACAACCTAGAGAGTGATCTCGGGCCAGAGAGAGGATTCAGTCTGGGCCTAGCCCAACCCAGTTAGAGACCCAGATGCTTCCGCCTGGCCCCCATCAGCCTGGTTTGGTTGCCAGAGGTTGGCACTCTCTTCTGGGTTCCATCCTGCTTCTCCACTGGTACAGCCCCACATGGCTCCAGAATAAGCAGGCAGTGTTCACCTGCGAACATCCCCCAGCCCTCTAAGCAGCAGCTCTCATCCGCTCCTCCAGCCACACCTGGGATTCCCTGCCTGGTGTCTCCAGCCCCGCCCGCAATGGCCCTGGTGTGCCCATACCCTGGGGACAGGACACCTCCGCCCTGAATCCACTGGCACCTCAAACTCAACATGACCGAGTCTAACCCTTCCCTCTTGCTGACCTGACCTTCCCCCGACCTTCTCCCTTCCCTTACCCCCACCACCAACAGCAACAACCTGCTTCTCTTCCTTCACTCTCTGGCTCCCCTCTCCCCAACCTTTCACTTTCTGCTCTTAGGGCTATCATAAGTGCCACTGTCCCCAAACTACCCTGAGCCCAGGAGACACCCTCCTTGATAGAAAAGGGAAATTAGCCAGATTGAAGTTTACTTCTCATGTAGCTAGAAAAATTGTAGACAATTGAAAAGAGAGAAGATATAAAAAAAGAAGGCAAATATATAATATATTTAATGTAAAAAAATGGATGGTCCTACAATTGGATCAAGAAGGTGTGGTATATATACACAAATGGAATACTACTCAGCCATAAAAAAAGGCAAAATCATCCCATTTGCAACAACATGGATGGGCCTGGAGGGTATTATGTTAAGTGAAGTAAGCCAGAAAGAGAAAGACAAACACCGTATGATCTCACTCATATGTGGAATATAAACCAACACATGGACAGAGAAAACTGTATTGTGGTTACCAGGGGCAATGGGGGTGGGGGGTGGGCACAAGGGGTGAAGGGAGACATATATATGGTGATGGACAAACAAAAATGTACAACCCAAAATTTCACAATGTTATAAACTATTAAAACATCAATTTAAAAAAAATGGATGGTCCTAAGTTAGCCAATCAACGGAGATTTAGGGTATATTTCTGCCAAGAGTGAGGAAAGTCCCCTGATTCTCAGGGACACAGGTGCAAGAGCTTGTACCCTCCAGGCCCCTTCTGTCGGCATGAAGAAGGCACCTGCTGTCCTGGAGGAACTACCCAGAGAAGCCGAGGCCTGTGGGCTGAGAAGAGGCGGGGAAGGTCTGGTGGGCACGGGGCAGGGCGCCCGGACATCTGAGGAGGAGGAGGAGAAGTGACAAAGTCAAGACAGGGACAGGGGTTGGGCCCGGGAGACTCCTGGGCCTCCTCAGCCCTGAGGACTCAGGGTGGGTGTCCTCCCAGAACAGAGGGAACATCCTCCTGCTCAGGCTCCAGAACAGGAAACATCACCACGGCCCTCACCTGGCAAAGGAGAAGGCCCGAGTCCAGGCTTTGTTTCCTCAGAGTCACCAGCACTGCCCACTTCCAGACACAGGGCCCGGGGTCAAGAGGTTGTGCTCAACCAGCCTAAAGAGGCTGCATCTCTGGACGGGGGCCCCTGGGCTTGGGGGTGCTGAGAAAGGAGAGGGCCCAGAAAGACCCATCCCTTCAGCAGCCCCTAGGAGACAGAGTAAGCATCCTGCCTCTTGCTTCTTCATTCATGCAGTCAACAAATATCTATTCAGCATCTACTGTGTGCCAGACTAGCACGAGACCAGGAGATCTAGGGGTGAACAAGAAAGGCAAGTCCCTGATACGAGTGGCTAACATTCTAGTAAGGAGACAGAGAAGAAGGACAGCTGGCAGCTACATAGTGCTGGTTATAGGCCAGGCGCTGTTCCAACTGCCAAAAATACATCCATTCACCTAATCCTCCATACAACCCTGTGAGGTAGAACATCTATTACCCCAGGTTACAGATGAGGAAATTGAGGCACACACAGGGCAAACCACCTGCTGAAGTCCCCATGGTGAGTTCATGGCTAGTTCATGGCGGAGCTGGGATTTGTAGTCCCAGGCAGCCTGCCTCCAGGGTCTGTGCCCTATCCACCACCTTTCCAGCTGCTGGTTGTAAATAAATATGGAAACAAGACAAATAGAGATCGTGAGCGTTGCTCTGAGAGAATGAAACAGAGTGACATGACTGGGAGTAACCCAGAGTGGTCAGGGAAAATCTCTCAGGAGGCGATGTTCAGGCTGACACCTGAAGGATGGGACTGAGCTGG